GCAAGTACGAGGCTGGTGCCGACACAGAGCGCGTCGCAGAAGTCTCGTCTGGAACACCCTCTGCTTAGTGACATCAACAAAAGAGACTGAAGCATATATGTCAATATATGCTGCCGAAGCATGTATGCCGAAATATAATGCCTTGTGTATGTCTTAAAAGCTGAGAACGGCATGCATGCTTGTGTAAGGTTCACAAGGACTTATATGCTTCGGGCTCTTTTGTTGATGGCTAGACGGCAGAAAGCTCAACTTCGGAAAGCAAAAAAAGAAGTGAGTCGAATAAGTCGAAGGTCTCGGAGAAGGACATGAAAAGCAGAAGAAGACGAAGACTAGGGGAAACGCAAAGTCTACCTAACCGCGAGATGTTTTTGTTGTACCCGGGCCGCTCTTAGTGTTGAATCTTTGATTCATCGCACCCTAGTATTTGACGAGTTGTATTAGAAAGTGGACTGGTGCTAGGAGTAAGTCTGCTGGACTTCTCTCGAAAGAATCACCGTCCTGTTTGGGGTGTGACAGTTCGGCGAACGCCGTCCCAGGCATGCTGACTTAAGCACGGACGGTCTCTTGTCGGTTGCCAGATGCGCTCGGAAAGTGAGTATAGCGTTTGCAATGCTGACGTGCCCGTCCCCCAGATCCCATTGCTTGCTGCCAAGCACGTCGCGGAGCATGTGCTTGCCTCCATCATCGACGACACAGTGCTCCAGCGCCCACAGCCCAACCCCTTCAGCTCACTCGTCACTCTCTCGAACGGTTCCAGCTCGGGTGCAGACCCGAGCACCCCTGATGCACTAGCACCGGACGGCGGACTCAACAACACCAGCTCTCTTGCCGTCGTCTTTGGTGTGTCAGCTTTCGTCGTTCTCATCGGAACATATCCCTGGTGGAGATCCTGCATTGCGCAGGCCTTCCTCAGCAACGGTGACAAAAGAGGCATCAACAACGTCCCTAGCTTCGTGAAGATGAACACTGTCAACACTTCTGGATCACGTCCCATCTCAGATGGTGACGAGGCATTCTGGAGCGCTGAAGCCGGTACTCATGACCAAACACCAAGCATGTCTCAGCCCAGCAAAACTCAAGGCAGCCCTCGGAGCAGCAGTCTATCAGTCTCCTCTGACGAGCAGTCCCTTCCCTTCCCACTGCGATTCAGGCAGGATGGAGGGCCATCAGTTCAATACCTCCGCATGTAAGTTTTAATGTGTCGTTCGCCTGGTTCCTCGCGACACTCATTATGGTACCGCAGCTACAGCATGACTGCAAAAGTGCTGAAGCAGCACTGCATCGAGTTCAACCTCTCTCAGACAGGCAACAAGACCGTGCTAGTCGAACGACTGGAGGCATTCAGCCACAATCCTGACTCATGGAACAGGTACGTGACTTTTTTCACTCAATTCAACTGGGAGCTGAACTGTTACTGGAGCGCCCACCCAGGTGCCCACAGGTCTCATAAGGGACCTCGAGTGAAGAGGCCCACGGACAAGCCTAGGACAAGCCGTACCAAAAAGTCTACACAGCGTCGTGCACAACTCGTTCCAGGCGCCAACACTATCAACGGAACCACGACCATCACTGATCGATCAAAAGATGCACGCACCTCAGCCGAGGTTGCCGCACTGCTGCCGTGGGTGAGCTGCTGTTTCTTTCCTCCTCTTTTTTGATTTATCTCTGTCGTGTTGGACTGGTTGAACGTTGGCCTCACAGGCCAAGATGATCTGCATGGAGTATCCATACCAGACAACAGACGGCATGGCTCCAGTTGCCGATGCTGAACCTAGTCATTATCCTATGGGTGGGATGCCTACTGGTACAAGTGCGCACTCTGCCAGCTACATCAATGAGGTGAGCTTGCTCGGTGCTGTGTCTCCCACTTACTATGATATGACATGCTGACAGGTGGATAGTTGCAGGACACCATCATCCAAAATGCAAGCACGAGGCTTATCAGCCTCGTGCAAGATGCCCTCCTTCAACCGGGTGCTGCTGCATCCCCGCATATACTAGGTGCCGAGGAACACAGGGCAGTAGCTCCTCGCTCCACTGATGCCATCACGTCAGGACACAGCATGGTGAGAGAAGCCCCAACACCAGCGAAGCCCGACACAAACAAGGCTCGAGTGCTCAAGCTCGGAGATGGCACTACGCTACAACTGGATGACGGCGATATTCCTGATCCCCCTGCCATCAGCTTCGCAAATGATATCTCAAGCCTCAACGAGATGTGGGATGACCACACTGAGCACTGGCGGGGTATATCAATCATTGTCATCCAGGGCCACCCAATTGCAATCGAGCACTGGCCTGTACTCTATCGCTACGGCAGAGACCAGCAGTGGAAGGGGACGAAGAATAAGTGGACAGACTGGCGTGTGGGTGCAAAATTGAGTTGTTCCACTGCATCTGACTGACCTTCCTCTTCTCTGGGCATCCAGGACATCGTCGAGTGCTATCGTCAGAGCAGCCCAGAGGAGTTCTGGGCCAAATTCAGTGTTGATGGAGAACATGCGACCTTTACCACTATCGTTCAGAAGCTGCGTGATGCACGCAAGGCGGCCCACTCCCGCATCGTGCAACAGGCACATGAGGAGTTTGGTCCTGCATTCGATGCTCATTTTACTTACCGGAGGGGAGGCAGAGAGTATGTCATGACCAAGCCATCCGCTATTGCAAAAAGGTACACCGAGTTGACAGGCAAAGGTTTGGTGTGAAGGTGTTATAGATAGGATTTTTCTTTTGCGCAGTACAAATTTTACGAGAATGGGAACCAGTAATACGAGTATCAGTGCCTAATGGTCAACAGACATGCAACTTGTTGCCATGACTCAGCCGGCGGCCCACCAAAGTTGAACTAACACCACATTTTACTCAGTCCAAGCCCTGACAACAAAGTTTTCTATCAACCTATGGCTGCGACGGTTGACTCCATGCAATGTTTTCCTGGTTTATGCGGGGTGCTTTCAGGGTCTGCTACTGGCCTCGAGATAGATGAAATTGAAGAGGATGTTGCAGCGGAACAAGAAACTATAATTGAGCCCGGCGCTGGTCTGAAAACGGCGAATACTGGGTCAATTGATACTCCTGATTTTGTTAAATTGCAGATGACGCTCATGGAGGCTTCCAAGGGTGTCACAGATGGCACGGATGCTGAATACAAAAGGTGGATGCTTTTCAGCAACTCACCTGACGGGTCACTTATGCTCTTTGCAGGTTAATGAATTCATGTGTCTCATTTGCTATCAGGATCCGCCTTCTGGGGCCGGATGAGGAATTCTTCAGCAAGAGACCACGGGCTGATGCTCCTTTGGTAATTGTAGCCTGGATTATGAACGCGTGAGTGCCGCTTGGAGCCGATCTGTCGTTCTGATGCTGACATTTCATGGAAGCTGCGACTCCATTAATCTTGACGGCACCACAAAGCTGTGTTCCCAGGAACGGGGGACATATGGACATGCTCAGAAAATGCGAGCCTCAATGACCTATGGCTTCGGTAAGCTGAAGGGTCTCGGAAACATGCCATGGCATGAATCCGATGTTGGTGCCACCATGGTTGGCAACCCCTCAATCTCGGTTGAAGTTTCATCTTTCATGTGTTCGCTGCGGAGACGCAAGGTAGTGCTTTGTGATTTTGGCTGATTTGAGGCTGATCAAACTGTGCTAGGTTCAAGCTGGTGAAGTTGCAAACAGTGCTCGTGCTATAACATCGGTGAGTCACGTTGAATATTTTAATATTTCACTGGTGAAAATTTTACAACTCCTGCAGGAGATATTACTCAAATTGTACCACCACAACCGCCTTCCTGAGAACTGGACTGTCCAGCCGTATCAACCTGGCGAGCGAAAACCTGCAGGAGGCTCTCGTACTTCTGACAGCCTGGACAACTGGGGTGGTGGGCGGGTCCGAAGGCTTCTGCATGCTGCATATACAGTGGCATTCTTATGTATGTTGCGGTTTGATGAGGTCCTCAAGATACAGGTTCATGATCTTCGTGTGGCAAACAATCAGGTTGTGTTGTACCTCCCCTTTCGCAAGACCCACCAAAATGGAGGTCTGTGTTCAATCTGTATTTAAATTGCGAGCTGTGATTGAGATATATGATTTTAGATATTAAACCCTTTCATCTCTGGACCCTCTCATCTAATGAAGCCCATCTCTGTCCTACGAGAGCACTTGCCGCTTGGTTTGATGAGTCCCAGATAACGACGGGCTATGTTTTCCGAAAAATGGCATCTGGTGACCGGATAGCAGTGGCAAATAACCCTATGGTGTGTAATTAATGTGTACCTCGATGAAAACAGCTAAAGGTGCCCTTCTAGTCTTCAGAACAGTTCTTAGAGCTGTTTCGAAACAACCTTCTCGACATAAATATTGACCCTGCTCCTTATGGCACTCACTCGTTTCGTCGGGGGGGCTGCCAATATTTGCATATAGAAAGGCGGTGGCCCTTGAGAAGGATTTGTGAGTGGGGCGGGTGGAGCACTGAATTCACCAACATGACAATAGTCAAGTATCTTATCTCCTCGAATGATGACCCTGCAGAGCCAAGGGACCATTTTTTCAACCCCAACCAGCGCCCAGCTGTCAAGTGTCCGCAGTGTGGCCGATGCTGCTTATGTGCTTGATTGCAGTAGGGCAAAGGGTATGAACCTTGACATCACAATAGTAGCCTCGCTTCCTGTTGTACCCGAGACCAAACCAATAGTAGTAGTTCATAATACAGACGAGGTTTGCTGGGCTTCCTGCCGCGATGAAAAGGTACTGTCAGAGAGATTCAGAGTGGAATGCTTGACGCACGCAATACTGATGCTTTTATCTCCATCAGCCTCACCTAGTGCTGTCGCATTGTCTCGAACTGATTCTACAAAGACCATACTCCATGTCGCATCTACCACAGACACCAAAATGAATATGATTTCAGTATTAAGCCGAAGAGCCGCTCGCACCAAAATACCAACGAAAGTATTACATCCCAAGCTCACAATAAACCGCGCTCAAGATCAAGAACCTACAATCCCTCGCCATACTTCCCCATCACCCCCCTCAATGCCGCCTCATTCCCAAACCTCGGTTCAAAACACGCAGCAAACGGCTTAGGATGCACAATAACACCATCCACAAAACCCGACTCATCAATTGGGTTCTCAGGGTCCTGCGTGATCTTGAAAGACCACAAGAGGAGCGCAGCGTTAATGAAGATCGAGCGGTTTGCTATATGTTGTCCTGGGCAGATTCTGCATGTTGCACGTCACATTTTAGTATGTAGGCAACTGGGTTTAATATCAGGGACAAGTACCTGCGTCCAAAACCGAATGAAGGGAACTTGAGGTCGTCCCGGATTTTGCCGTCGGTGTTGAGCCACCTCTGAGGATCGAACTGGTCAGGGTTGGGGTAGACACTTGGGTCACGGGAGATTGCCCTGTTGAAAGGTGATCAGTACAATATCGCATAGAATGGATGTTAGTCGTACCAGTGGTTGCCAAAGACGATAGCACCTTCTGGGATACACGTATTCTTCTGCTCAGGCAGTTAGAACAAAAAAACATGACAGAGCACTGAAAAACGTATGTATGGGATATCAGTCAGCGCACAGGTGTGTGAATCCGAGAGTCGTCACTGGGTCTCCAGCGAAGACACTCCAGCATGAACGCTTCAATCTGCGGGAGGGAGTTGTAGTCGTCGAATGTGGGAGCTGTAACAAAGTTGAGATTTCACTCAGATGAATAACGATATTCGACTTACCTCTGTCACGACTAATGACGACGTCCAGTTCTTCTTGCACTTTCTCCTGAGCCTTGGGATAGCATGCAGAAGCCATGACGACAACCATAATCGCAACAGCAGTCGTGTCCGAACCGACGCCAAAGAGCGACCCAGCAAGATAAGCCATTTCTTCGTCCGAGAGCTTGTGCGAAGACTGGTTCTCAAGAAGATAGCGAGCAAACGAGGGACCAGCTTTGCTGGTCGCCTATGAAGAACAGTCAGGTACTGATGAGGAAAGAAGTGGAACCAACCAACCAATTCTCTCAAAACACGATCAAGCTGGTCATGGAAGAGCTGACTCTCTTCCCTTCTCCACTGCTCCAACTCGGTTCCATATCCCGGAACGTATTTTAATATCGGGTAGCGCTCTACCAGTAATGCACCAGGTCGCATGAGCATCTGGAAGCGCTTGAGCATTTTCTGGATGACGATGATCTCGGGGGGTCGACTTGCCATACGTGACACGCAAGATGACGGAGGCGGTGTAGCTTGAGTTGAATGCATAAGTGATCATAAAACAACACATTGAGTGCAACATACCGATTCGCAGCTGCTTGGTGTCCTTTAGGGTTATTAAGGATATCGAGGATGACATTACGGGCAGCATTCATCTGGATTGGCACATAGGATTCTGCAGCTTTCGCTTGAAGGTGAGTATGAGCCGCTCTGAATCACATAATTTCAGTAAAATAGGTCGTTAAGAGGAGATCTCAACCCAACCTGCGAAGTCTGTGGAACTGCTCTCCTGCGGGTGCAAGGATCAAATGCAGCCCGCGCGACAATATCTCTCCTGCCGCAACTGCACGAGGACGGTCGGCTAGTAGACTACCTTCTTTCTCCATTATATCGACAGATTCCTGTGCAGGTGAGTATGTACTTGGTGACCAGTATTGGAACCATCTTACCTGGTATCTGCCAATGATGACCATGATCTTAGGCCCGATCCGAAGCGAGATGATGGGTCCATAGGTATTGATCCATTCTGCAAACTGCTGAGATTGACTATGATGTGTTTCCCGTTAGTGTCCACATAGAGTTTCGTATTTTATGTACTCACTTAGTTCTTGGCAGAGGAGTTCCGAATAGCCAATTTCCAGGAGGACCAGGAGGAAGAGGCAGGCGTGACTTTGAGCGTATCTTAGCGCGGAGGAGCTTGTCGGCGAGAATGACAGCGACTAATGCTCCTAGGGCCTTGAACCCAAATGTCAAGTCGAACATCCTCTAATAGTTTATAAGGGCAAATACAGTAAAACTTAGTACAAGAGAGAGGACGGAGGAATGAAAGGTACTGACCGCATGGTGCAGCAGCTGAGTTTTATGTCGGACGAGGCTGACAGGCGCTTGACGCTGACCAGTGCTGATGGGAGACCAAGCCTATTCAAGGGTGATGGACTGACAGTTAGTGCGGCTTTGGGACAGCTCAGCCAGTTGTCATGAGACGCAACTCGTATGACAAATTGACAAATATCGATGTCCTGATCCACCGCGGCGTTCACAGTGGAGATATCCAACTTGCTGGAACAATTGAAACTTCTGGTCAATTGAGGCGCATCCAGTATATGTGATGGACACAAAGCTTCGGACGAGATACAAGTACAGTATGTCAAGATTTGTATCAAAGAGTGAGATCAATCAATTCACGATCATCATCATCACCTGTGAGATCAATTATAACACCGTCTGCGGGCACTGCTTCATCTTCATCTTGTGTGAGGTCGATGACGCTCGCAGAAGAGGCAGCAGCTGCGGAGGCCGCACCTGCAGATGACCCATGGACCACGCATGATGTCGACAGTGAATTAGTCTATCCATTTGTCAGCGTGAATGATGATGGTGTTGTTGATAGACATACCTCAATTTGGGGATCACCTGAAGACGACAGGAACATGGTCCGCACCCAGCAGTCATAGATTTGGTCAGCGAGCCATACTCGAACATACTTATGTGAGTCATCCTGACAGCCTTCAGCTGACCCCTCAAGCAGCCGGAGTGTGGCTTGCTTCAGCGTATCAGTGGGTACATCACTGTTGTGCCCCAAAAATCCTGCAAGTGCCTTCTTCGGGCGTGATGCACGGCTGAGAAAGACAGCCCTCGTGCAGCCCGAGCCAAGCTCGATCTGCATCTTGTCAGTATATGTTCAGATAGAGCAACACGGTCCACAGACCTCATTGCTCATAGGCGAATTATTCGCAAGGTCCTCCAGAAGCTCGTGGCAAGATGGCAACAGGCCAAATGGTAGTGCGGAAAGTGCCGAGAAGCTTCTTTGAGTCCCAGCCCAGGAGCTGCTGAATAAGAGACGCAAGTGAAGTGAGGTTAGGTTGGGGCGGGGTTCGCAGTATTTGGGCAGCTCAGTGAGTGGGTTATGTGGGGCGTGCATATAAATTAATGATGCCCGGATTAGGGAAGGAATCAGAGAGTGAGCGAGCGAGGGCTGGATTGCAATCGGCCCATCTTTCAGTTGGATCACTCGCAAGGGTGATATTCAGCGATGTTCCGCCATTGCTGGAGGGACCGGTCCTGGTTGCCACCGTGCATAGCACTGCATAGCATACTATTGTCCATGCAGGGCCAGACCAAGTGCGGTCTCACGTCCGCACCCTGGAAGACCATTCTGAGACAGATGTCAGTGAGAATCAATGTTCGCAGAATGGCGGCTGAAGGCTTACCTTATCATAATCACCCCCACAGCAAATAGCAATGGTAATGAAAGCGTCACCAGTAAGAGAAGGGTCAACTTGCTCCCGGATGGTGCCGATGGTATATATCTTGATGGTGTCGGACAAAAATGTCGAGCTAAGGCAGGAGGACAGGGTCAGGAGGACACAGATGTGGAAGAAAGGCAGCACCTACTTTCGAAGGACGGTTTGGGCACCAAACACGAAGATATCACAGTCATCTGTCATGACCGCATTGATGACGCCAGCCTATTCATCAAGGCCAGCTGCGCCTCAGCTTCCCCCGCAGCCTGGATACCAGGCTTGAATAATAAGGATAGAGGTGGCGAAATTAAACGCACCGTAATCCACTGAGTGTTGAAAGCATCCAGGATGCGCTGTGTTGGCTTCACCATCCAGTGTTCATTTGAAGACACCCTATGTCCTCGTTTAACACCAGGCCGCTGGTCACCGTCATAGCAGAAGATAAGCTGCAGTGGATACCGGGCAAGTCGGGCAAGTCGGAATAGAAATGTTCGAAGGGCGGGATTCTGCCCAGTCTGAGCATGTGCTCGGTGCCACTTGCCTTGTTGGCACTGTTCGAACCATCCGCTGGATCGTAGTAGACATTTAGTGTCAAATGTGGACATGGCCGCTGATATCCAAATGCTAACCTTGCATCAACCCCCACCACATAGGGCAGGTGAGGGGGGGTCCTATGTAGCGGCCCTGGAGGGCAAGAGAGATGACAGGTACCGTTTTTGCAGCAGGCTCGAGTAACTGTAAAGCGACTGAGGTTTGAAATCCGGCAAGCGGCAGGTGCACATACCTCCCACAGGCCGTTTATACCCATGATGACAAGTAAACCCTCTAGTTTATTGCTGCGCGCTGGTGTATCTGAGCTAGTACCCAGATGTGCACAGGAACAAGTTAGCGTGCTGCCCCTAAACAATGCGCATTTGTTTACCTATGTTTGCCTTCAAAGGAGGGATGCGGTGTTTGGTCGCAATGAGCAACAAGAATGCGGCTGGTGACTGAAATATGGTGGGGGAATACGGTGATTTCAGCGTCTTGCAAGAACAGTGTGTTTTGTAATCTAGCGCCTGTAATAGTCACTTAAACGCATGAAAAGATGATGTTAAGATGATGTCCCTTAGCGAGTGCTAGACGTAGTTGAGCTGTTTACACCAGCGCTGGGGGTTCATGGACGGTTGAGGGTGAGATGTTGGGAGGACAACAGCGAGTTTTGATAATATAGCACCTGTACTAACAGTCAATTAGACACATGAAAAGATGAATGTGTCACTTACCTCTCGAGCACGCAGTTGTCTATGCCTGGGGCCGTCCCATGCTAGTAGATGCTAAACCAGCAAGCACCACATTTGATATATCAGACGTGGGATCGTCTTTAGCGCGCGTGCACCGTCTTTAGCACACCAGGATGGTCTTTTTCTTTGCAGGATGGTGGATATGAGCGTGGGTACCTTGGTTTTTGCAGGGAATCCTGCACGTCCACTAGAGGTTTCTTGGGCGAAAAAAGACCCTCCCAAATGGCGTGACATCACGGACCCATCCTCGGAACCGCATGACACCTCCGCAAACTCAATGGGGCGCAGTAGTAGCTTGATGCCGGCAATGGAGCAAGGCCTGGATTCCTGCATGTACTAGTCAGCACACATCTTCAATTCCAAACCATCTCTCAAACCGTCTCTCATTTTGAGGACTTGCGCTCCCATTCGAGATTCCACACTCCTTCCAGATCCAAACCAAACTCCATGCCCTCGGTGAGTGGACTACCCAGACCTATATACTTCCTCCGCACTTCTCGAGTGCAGACGCCCGTGACGTGAGGGCCGCATCACTGCGATGAACCAGAAAAGAGACGTTTGGCAGCGTCGGGACGACATCGTGCCCAACTCCCCGCTCCTCGTTGAATTCGCATGCCTTCCAGCTTCTAGCTGAGGGGTGTCGGGTGTCTCGTCCAGCGCCGATCGGAGACGATTTGTCAAACTTACGACAGTGACGATCGGTCACTGTCCGTCACTTCGTGACCGTCCGTGACTGGACCGTGGTTTTTTTCGTGTCGGCAGATATACTTCTCTCGAAAGAATCACCGTCCTGTTTTGGGTGTGACAGTTCGGCGAACGCCGTCCCAGGCATGCTGACTTAAGCACGGAGTCTCTTGTCGGTTGCCAGATGCGCTCGGAAAGTGAGTATAGCGTTTGCAATGCTGACGTGCCCGTCCCCCAGATCCCATTGCTTGCTGCCAAGCACGTCGCGGAGCATGTGCTTGCCTCCATCATCGACGACACAGTGCTCCAGCGCCCACAGCCCAACCCCTTCAGCTCACTCGTCACTCTCTCGAACGGTTCCAGCTCGGGTGCAGACCCGAGCACCCCTGATGCACTAGCACCGGACGGCGGACTCAACGACACCAGCTCTCTTGCCGTCGTCTTTGGTGTGTCAGCTTTCGTCGTTCTCATCGGAACATATCCCTGGTGGAGATCCTGCATTGCGCAGGCCTTCCTCAGCAACGGTGACAAAAGAGGCATCAACAACGTCCCTAGCTTCGTGAAGATGAACACTGTCAACACTTCTGGATCACGTCCCATCTCAGATGGTGACGAGGCATTCTGGAGCGCTGAAGCCGGTACTCATGACCAAACACCAAGCATGTCTCAGCCCAGCAAAACTCAAGGCAGCCCTCGGAGCAGCAGTCTATCAGTCTCCTCTGACGAGCAGTCCCTTCCCTTCCCACTGCGATTCAGGCAGGATGGAGGGCCATCAGTTCAATACCTCCGCATGTAAGTTTTAATGTGTCGTTCGCCTGGTTCCTCGCGACACTCATTATGGTACCGCAGCTACAGCATGACTGCAAAAGTGCTGAAGCAGCACTGCATCGAGTTCAACCTCTCTCAGACAGGCAACAAGACCGTGCTAGTCGAACGACTGGAGGCATTCAGCCACAATCCTGACTCATGGAACAGGTACGTGACTTTTTCACTCAATTCAACTGGGAGCTGAACTGTTACTGGAGCGCCCACCCAGGTGCCCACAGGTCTCATAAGGGACCTCGAGTGAAGAGGCCCACGGACAAGCCTAGGACAAGCCGTACCAAAAAGTCTACACAGCGTCGTGCACAACTCGTTCCAGGCGCCAACACTATCAACGGAACCACGACCATCACTGATCGATCAAAAGATGCACGCACCTCAGCCGAGGTTGCCGCACTGCTGCCGTGGGTGAGGCTGCTGTTTCTTTCCTCCTCTTTTTTGATTTATCTCTGTCGTGTTGGACTGGTTGAACGTTGGCCTCACAGGCCAAGATGATCTGCATGGAGTATCCATACCAGACAACAGACGGCATGGCTCCAGTTGCCGATGCTGAACCTAGTCATTATCCTATGGGTGGGATGCCTACTGGTACAAGTGCGCACTCTGCCAGCTACATCAATGAGGTGAGCTTGCTCGGTGCTGTGTCTCCCACTTACTATGATATGACATGCTGACAGGTGGATAGTTGCAGGACACCATCATCCAAAATGCAAGCACGAGGCTTATCAGCCTCGTGCAAGATGCCCTCCTTCAACCGGGTGCTGCTGCATCCCCGCATATACTAGGTGCCGAGGAACACAGGGCAGTAGCTCCTCGCTCCACTGATGCCATCACGTCAGGACACAGCATGGTGAGAGAAGCCCCAACACCAGCGAAGCCCGACACAAACAAGGCTCGAGTGCTCAAGCTCGGAGATGGCACTACGCTACAACTGGATGACGGCGATATTCCTGATCCCCCTGCCATCAGCTTCGCAAATGATATCTCAAGCCTCAACGAGATGTGGGATGACCACACTGAGCACTGGCGGGGTATATCAATCATTGTCATCCAGGGCCACCCAATTGCAATCGAGCACTGGCCTGTACTCTATCGCTACGGCAGAGACCAGCAGTGGAAGGGGACGAAGAATAAGTGGACAGACTGGCGTGTGGGTGCAAAATTGAGTTGTTCCACTGCATCTGACTGACCTTCCTCTTCTCTGGGCATCCAGGACATCGTCGAGTGCTATCGTCAGAGCAGCCCAGAGGAGTTCTGGGCCAAATTCAGTGTTGATGGAGAACATGCGACCTTTACCACTATCGTTCAGAAGCTGCGTGATGCACGCAAGGCGGCCCACTCCCGCATCGTGCAACAGGCACATGAGGAGTTTGGTCCTGCATTCGATGCTCATTTTACTTACCGGAGGGGAGGCAGAGAGTATGTCATGACCAAGCCATCCGCTATTGCAAAAAGGTACACCGAGTTGACAGGCAAAGGTTTGGTGTGAAGGTGTTATAGATAGGATTTTTCTTTTGCGCAGTACAAATTTTACGAGAATGGGAACCAGTAATACGAGTATCAGTGCCTAATGGTCAACAGACATGCAACTTGTTGCCATGACTCAGCCGGCGGCCCACCAAAGTTGAACTAACACCACATTTTACTCAGTCCAAGCCCTGACAACAAAGTTTTCTATCAACCTATGGCTGCGACGGTTGACTCCATGCAATGTTTTCCTGGTTTATGCGGGGTGCTTTCAGGGTCTGCTACTGGCCTCGAGATAGATGAAATTGAAGAGGATGTTGCAGCGGAACAAGAAACTATAATTGAGCCCGGCGCTGGTCTGAAAACGGCGAATACTGGGTCAATTGATACTCCTGATTTTGTTAAATTGCAGATGACGCTCATGGAGGCTTCCAAGGGTGTCACAGATGGCACGGATGCTGAATACAAAAGGTGGATGCTTTTCAGCAACTCACCTGACGGGTCACTTATGCTCTTTGCAGGTTAATGAATTCATGTGTCTCATTTGCTATCAGGATCCGCCTTCTGGGGCCGGATGAGGAATTCTTCAGCAAGAGACCACGGGCTGATGCTCCTTTGGTAATTGTAGCCTGGATTATGAACGCGTGAGTGCCGCTTGGAGCCGATCTGTCGTTCTGATGCTGACATTTCATGGAAGCTGCGACTCCATTAATCTTGACGGCACCACAAAGCTGTGTTCCCAGGAACGGGGGACATATGGACATGCTCAGAAAATGCGAGCCTCAATGACCTATGGCTTCGGTAAGCTGAAGGGTCTCGGAAACATGCCATGGCATGAATCCGATGTTGGTGCCACCATGGTTGGCAACCCCTCAATCTCGGTTGAAGTTTCATCTTTCATGTGTTCGCTGCGGAGACGCAAGGTAGTGCTTTGTGATTTTGGCTGATTTGAGGCTGATCAAACTGTGCTAGGTTCAAGCTGGTGAAGTTGCAAACAGTGCTCGTGCTATAACATCGGTGAGTCACGTTGAATATTTTAATATTTCACTGGTGAAAATTTTACAACTCCTGCAGGAGATATTACTCAAATTGTACCACCACAACCGCCTTCCTGAGAACTGGACTGTCCAGCCGTATCAACCTGGCGAGCGAAAACCTGCAGGAGGCTCTCGTACTTCTGACAGCCTGGACAACTGGGGTGGTGGGCGGGTCCGAAGGCTTCTGCATGCTGCATATACAGTGGCATTCTTATGTATGTTGCGGTTTGATGAGGTCCTCAAGATACAGGTTCATGATCTTCGTGTGGCAAACAATCAGGTTGTGTTGTACCTCCCCTTTCGCAAGACCCACCAAAATGGAGGTCTGTGTTCAATCTGTATTTAAATTGCGAGCTGTGATTGAGATATATGATTTTAGATATTAAACCCTTTCATCTCTGGACCCTCTCATCTAATGAAGCCCATCTCTGTCCTACGAGAGCACTTGCCGCTTGGTTTGATGAGTCCCAGATAACGACGGGCTATGTTTTCCGAAAAATGGCATCTGGTGACCGGATAGCAGTGGCAAATAACCCTATGGTGGTAATTAATGATGTGTACCCTGACCTATGAAAACAGCTAAAGGTGCCCTTCTAGTCTTCAGAACAGTTCTTAGAGCTGTTTCGAAACAACCTTCTCGACATAAATATTGACCCTGCTCCTTATGGCACTCACTCGTTTCGTCGGGGGGGCTGCCAATATTTGCATATAGAAAGGCGGTGGCCCTTGAGAAGGATTTGTGAGTGGGGCGGGTGGAGCACTGAATTCACCAACATGACAATAGTCAAGTATCTTATCTCCTCGAATGATGACCCTGCAGAGCCAAGGGACCATTTTTTCAACCCCAACCAGCGCCCAGCTGTCAAGTGTCCGCAGTGTGGCCGATGCTGCTTATGTGCTTGATTGCAGTAGGGCAAAGGGTATGAACCTTGACATCACAATAGTAGCCTCGCTTCCTGTTGTACCCGAGACCAAACCAATAGTAGTAGTTCATAATACAGACGAGGTTTGCTGGGCTTCCTGCCGCGATGAAAAGGTACTGTCAGAGAGATTCAGAGTGGAATGCTTGACGCACGCAATACTGATGCTTTTATCTCCATCAGCCTCACCTAGTGCTGTCGCATTGTCTCGAACTGATTCTACAAAGACCATACTCCATGTCGCATCTACCACAGACACCAAAATGAATATGATTTCAGTATTAAGCCGAAGAGCCGCTCGCACCAAAATACCAACGAAAGTATTACATCCCAAGCTCACAATAAACCGCGCTCAAGATCAAGAACCTACAATCCCTCGCCATACTTCCCCATCACCCCCTCAATGCCGCCTCATTCCCAAACCTCGGTTCAAAACACGCAGCAAACGGCTTAGGATGCACAACACCATCCACAAAACCCGACTCATCAATTGGGTTCTCAGGGTCCTGCGTGATCTTGAAAGACCACAAGAGGAGCGCAGCGTTAATGAAGATCGAGCGGTTTGCTATATGTTGTCCTGGGCAGATTCTGCATGTTGCACGTCACATTTTAGTATGTAGGCAACTGGGTTTAATATCAGGGACAAGTACCTGCGTCCAAAACCGAATGAAGGGAACTTGAGGTCGTCCCGGATTTTGCCGTCGGTGTTGAGCCACCTCTGAGGATCGAACTGGTCAGGGTTGGGGTAGACGCTTGGGTCACGGGAGATTGCCCTGTTGAAAGGTGATCAGTACAATATCGCATAGAATGGATGTTAGTCGTACCAGTGGTTGCCAAAGACGATAGCACCTTCTGGGATACACGTATTCTTCTGCTCAGGCAGTTAGAACAAAAAAACATGACAGAGCACTGAAAAACGTATGTATGGGATATCAGTCAGCGCACGGTGTGTGAATCCGAGAGTCGTCATGGGTCTCCAGCGAAGACACTCCAGCATGAACGCTTCATCTGCGGGGGGAGTTGTAGTCGTCGAATGTGGGAGCTGTAACAAAGTTGAGATTTCACTCAGATGAATAACGATATTCGACTTACCTCTGTCACGACTAATGACGACGTCCAGTTCTTCTTGCACTTTCTCCTGAGCCTTGGGATAGCATGCAGAAGCCATGACGACAACCATAATCGCAACAGCAGTCGTGTCCGAACCGACGCCAAAGAGCGACCCAGCAAGATAAGCCATTTCT